CTGGGGGCGCCTGGGTGGCTCAGTTGTTAAGCGGCTGCCTTCGGCTCAGGTCATGATCTCCTGGGATAGAGCCCCGCATCGGGCTGCCTGCTCAACGGGAGCCCTGCTTCTCCCTCTCCCACTCCCCCTGCTTGTGATCCCTCTCTCACTGTCTCTTTCTGTGTGTCAAATAAATAAATAAAATCTTTAAAAAAAAAAAAAGAAACTAAGTTCTGGGCATCAGGTATGTTCATTACTGCCTGGATGTCATGCTCTTAGGTCCTCACAGCTGAGAGAGCTAAGGACTATATGTATGTATATACATATATGTATGAACACATACATCTGTATCTATTTCTATACCAACTTACATATTAAAACCTGCAAGTTTATGCTGATAACTCTGGTTCTGATCCAACACTGCAGGATTTATTTTCTCCTCCCCGTTTCCTCGTCTCTAACTATGTTCTGCAGCAGTGAGAAACTTGGCTCCCCAGATATTCCATGAATTTACTTATTTGCTCCATTTACCTGTGTGTAATCCAGCTCCCACTTGTGCCTAAGCTAGACCTTGGCTCCCCAACCCCACTGACCACACCAGAGCCAAATCCTCAGCCCCAACCCAAGGGCAGGGGAGGAAGGGGTGCAAATTAGCTTGAGAACCCTTGAGTTAACAAGCTCTGTAAGCTCCTGGGGATCCTAAGCTGCATTGCCCATGCTCAACTCCTTGCCAGCTTTGTCTGACTGCCATCTTCCTTTCCCTGTGCCATTCCAGTTAGAATATTGTTGCTAGGGATGCCGACTGCAAATCCACCAGAAGAAACTGCCTGGGTCATTTCATTGATCATCGGGACCCCCAGCCGTAGTTTGCATGGCCCCCTGACATGCTTATACAGTTCTTGGGCAGAAAGCTCCCGTTACAGGGGAGGGGGTGAAAGATACCATCCACACCCATGATATGTTCCTTTAAGGTGCAGAGAAAGTGAACACAGCCACAAGTGCAATGCCATCTGTCTGTATAGTACCTCAGTGTTGTAAAATCAAAGCATGGTACAGTGGATAGAGCTGGGCTTTGGAGTCAGACATCCGCACATTCAGATTCCAGCTCCGACAAATTCTGTGACCTAGGGCAAGCTATATTATTTTGCTCAGCCTCAGTTTCGTCATTTACAAGATGAAGATAAGAATGCCTTCTCTTCAGGGCTATTGTGAAGAGATTGTATTTCTAATGCCCCCGGCGCAGTGCCTGGTTTATAGGCTTGTGGCCAGGTGGGAGATTGTGGCGGACGGCATGAAGGCAGGAAGCTACCAGTAGTTTGCTGTGGGAAATACAGAGGACTGTATAAATCAAACTGTAGGTCATACTTCTCCAAGTCCCCTCCTCCTTACATCCCCCCTTCCACACACCCTATACTGTGCTCGCTTCTGACTCCAGGCCTTTATTCCCTCACCTGAGTCTGCTGCGAAATTCTCTCTCTAGTTTCCTTTGTCTGAAAGAAATTGTTCATATTGTCTGTACTGCTAAATTAGCATTTTGTCGCTGTCTTGGAATCTGAATATCATGAACATGAAGGTCCTATCTCCCCAGGCAGACCAAAGCTTCTGATGGGCCAATGCTGTGTCTTTTTTTTTTTTTTTAAAGATTTTATTTATTTATTTGAGAGAGGGAATGAGAGACAGACAGCAGGAGAGGGAGGAGGGTCAGAGGGAGAAGCAGACTCCCTGCTGAGCAGGAAGCCCAATGCGGGACTCGATCCCAGGACTCCAGGATCATGACCTGAGCCGAAGGCAGTCGCTTAACCAACTGAGCCACCCAGGCGCCCCGGGCCAATGCTGTGTCTTACCCCCATACCCAGCAGCACCTTGATCAGGGCTTAACTCTTTATAAACTCTTACTTGATTGTAATTATTTTTTGTTTTTAATTTTTTTTTAAAAGATTTTTTTTTTTTTTTTTAATTCATGAGAGACCGAGCGAGAGAGAAAGGCAGAGAGAGAAGCGGGCTCCCAAGGAGCAGGGAGCCCGATGCGGGACTCGATCCCAGGACCCTGAGATCATGACCTAAGCCGAAGGCAGACGCTTAACCATCTGAGCCACCCAGGCGCCCTGTAATTGTTTTATAGTGTAAAAAAACATCTCCTTATGACTCCAGTCAGCAGGTCAATAGACCACACACTCTTTTCTCTAGTCGTCTTACAAGAAGGTCTCGCCAGAATTCAGGCTAGTGTTTGGTACCTGAAAGAAAGGACAACCTTTGTTGTTTTTTTAGTTGAATTCATTATATCTTACATGTGTAGCACCCAGAGCCTTGCACGTATGAAGTGCTTAGTTGAAAATTGATGGGATTGGACACGTTGATCACTCGTTTCCCAGTGTGGCATAGAAGCATGCAGGTGCAGGGGCGCCTGGGTGGCTCAGTTAGTTAGGCAACTGCCTTCGGCTCAGGTCATGATCCTGGAGTCCCTGGATCGAGTCCCGCATCGGGCTCCCTGCTCGGCGGGGAGTCTGCTTCTCCCTCTGACCCTCCCCCCTCTCATGCTCTATCTCATTCTCTCTCTCAAGTAAATAAAATCTTTAAAAAAAAAAAAAGAAGCATGCAAGTGCAAAGAGTCGCATTCGTTGTAAGGGAGGGAAGCTCACTCTGAGGTGTGTATCTCATCTGCACGGAGAACAATGTCAGAAGTAACCTGGGAGTCAGCCTAAGTATGGAAGATCTTCAGAGGTTTTTTTTTAAGTGGAAATTTTCTTTATGTTCTATGAGCATGATTAATTTATAATCTTATTGATTGGGTTGGCTCTGAAATACGAGGCAGGAGAGTAAGTATCCTGACTTCAGCTACTAGGGGAATTGGATGAGTGGTTAAAGTAAAAACACTTCGGAGCCCTGGCCTCTGTTTTTGTTGGCACTAGAGATTTGGCAATTAGAATCTGCCCTAAGGAGACTCAAGTGGAACCTTTTGCTTTCTGTTACATGTTCTCCACTGCACCAGCCCCTGCCCCATCTCCACCTACCCACCCTTCTGTTCCCATCCTTCGGGAACAAAGTGTGGGGGCTGATCCGCTGCATATGTCTTGGGCACAGACATAGAAGATTAGCTTCACACATATGCATGAGGGGTGGGCCTGGGGAGAGCAGAAGTAACAGACCTTATCCCTACGCTCAAGGAGCGTGTGGTAACATATAATCGGAGAATAAGATTCTACTGTATAGCAAGCACCTTTCCCCTTAGGTACCAGCTTTAGCTTCTCAGTGATGGCGAGAATGCTGTCTCAAGGATTCTGAAAGGACACCAAAGATCAGTGAAAAAGAGAGCCATTATTGATGGCATCGCCTGCTGCAGGCCCAGGATGTGAGAAGGCCGTCCTGTTTCTTGAACATTTGACATTCTTACACTTGATAGTAAAGTGTTAAATAATAATAATAAAGCGTGAGTGTGTTGCAGGTGACAGAAGTTGAAATCAAGACAGAGGGTTGGCGCGAGTAGGCCAAGCCTGCAGATGATTGGAGAGGTGGCAGAGGGGCATGTTGGCCAGGGGAGGCATCCAGGCATCACAGGCGAAGGCCCAGAGTCGGGGGTACAGATGGGGCAGGGGGCAGTTAAGGTGAGTCTGGCTGGAGTGGAGGGTCCCTGTGCAGGAGCAACGAGAGATTAAATGGCAGGATGGGGCAGGCAGAGGTGGCGGGGAACGGGGGTGGTGACCCTGCAGCTTTCCAAGGTTAACTAACGAGTTATTTCCCTGCTCGCTGACCATCACCACAAGGACCTAGCCTAGGCCTGAAGTTCTTTGAGGGCAGAGTGGCTACATCTGGATATAATCAACTTTCAGTAAGAAAAGCTCTTGAGTAAAATGTCAGTTTTCTTCTATTCCTGCTAATTGATGCTGTGTGTGGTTCTTGTCTTGTTCTTCCTGTTATATAAATACATTTTGAAAGCACAGCTGGATTCCTGTAGCCTTAGACAGTAACCTAAAAAGATGTAAAATGTCAAGGGGTGGGGACTTCTCCCATTCTTCATACAGCTCAACTGTGCAGGAAACAATGAGTAGAGCCCTGCTGGCCCCGAGCTGTGATGACTCAGTGGGGAATGGGGGGACAGCTGCAGTCATCAGCACCATCATGACCTGCTGCAAGCCTGGGGCTGCCACACCCTCTCTTCTCCCAAGATTTTTTACACCTTCGATTCTGGAAGTTTTAAGGAAAAAAAATGGATAAAAGGAGAAAGAAAACATTAGAATACTTCTTCACTATTTCTGTTTCAGCATCTGTCCCGTGGGCACATGTAGGTTAATGATATCAAAATATTTGCTGACATCATAACCTTTTTGTGTTTTCAGAGATAGGAAGTCCAGTAGAGTGGTTAAAAGCATGAGGTTTGAGCCAGGCTGTTTGATTTTGAATCCTGGCTCCCCTACTCTCTTGCTCTATGACCGTGGACAAGGTCCTTAACTTTTCTGCACCTTGCTTTTTGAAAATGAAGACAGGAATACTACATACTTCATAATGTTACTGTGAAGATTGAGTGAAGTTCAGTGAAAGGACACTTCTAAAGTGCTGACATAGTGCATGCCCCAGTACATCGTAAGTGTTCAGAAAATGATCACTGTTGTCACTTAGGGTTTTCATTTGCGGAGAGAGGAGATGGTACTAGTATGGTAGTAGGAACAGCGCAAGCACTTAAATGGTAGCTTCTAGGCTCAGCTGTGCCACTAAATTATGTGACAAACTTTCTAGACCTTAATTTTTTCATCTCTTAGAGGGTCCAATAATACCTTATCTCCCCTACAGAGGCTTGGGGTCAGATGTGATCATGAAATGCCTTGAAAAGTATAAAGCAGCACAAAAATAAATGACATATATTCTTGCTGCTGTTATTGTAGGAGTGCTGGTGGTAGTTAATGAAGGTATGGATAGAAGTGGTCCAGTTTTAAATGTGAAAAGCATTAGGAATGATTTACTCATGGCAGGTAAGCACATTTTCTTTATCTTTCTTGAAATAACGTTGCAGGCTTTCTTCCTCCTAGAAACCTTGGAGAGCTGATTGACCGGTTTGTGGCCGATTTCAAAGCCCAGGGGCCACCTAAGCCCAACACTGACGAAGGGGGTGCCGTGCTCCCCAGCTGTGCTGACCTCTTTGTCTACTACAAGAAGTGCATGGTGCAGTGCTCTCAGCTCAGTACTGGGGAGCCAATGATCGCCCTGACCACCATTTTCCAGAAGTACCTCCGAGAATATGCCTGGAAAATCCTCTCTGGCAATCTACCCAAGTGAGTGCTATTCTTCCTGATCGGAGTGGTGAAGTAAGATTCTGAATATACCTAAATATGGGAATCTCAGGAAATGTACTCTGAAATTGTTTACTGAACTACTAAGAGTCTCAAGGAGGGAAACACTCTTACTGAGTTCCCAGGGGTTTGAGACTATTTCCTTTCTAATGATCAAGACTGTTAGAGGGAATGCCCACACTAGCTGCCAGCACAGGTCAGATCTTAACCACAGTGGACTCAAGGGAGTCCGTTCCATTATGTATGTATTTAATTTATATAGGTTCAACAATAGGTTGTTGGCAAAAAAAGGTAAGGTGGTGGTAGTAATAACTCTTAAACAGCATGGGCAGTTTCATTCAATGAGAGTATGCCCTGGGATGATGAGCACACGGGAGGCATGAATCTGCTTTTCCCTCGATCTGATTACGTTCCCAAGTCTCTCTTATGGTGTGTGTGTCTTGTTGAATAGAGTCTAATGTTTAAAGATGTGGTAGGATTTGGGGAGAGGGGGTTACATAGCACAGCCCCTAATTATAGTGACTTCACTGTATTCTGGGACATTAGAATATTGTTATATTGCTTATTAGAGTTTAAAGATTTTGGGTTCTGGGGCGCCTGGGTGGTTCAGCCAGTTAAGCGTCCAACTCTTGATCTCAGCTCAGGATTTGATCTCAAGGTCATGAGTTCAAGCCCTACATTGGGCTGTGGAGCCAAAGATTTTTGGTTCTACAGCAATTTCAATTATGATGGAATATGATCTAAAGTAATGCTTTGGAATTTATTATTTATAAATCATCCCCATGGCTAAATTCAATAATTCTGGAAGTAGTTGCTGTTGTTTTCACTAAAATGTGTCATATGTGGGAGTTTACATTATTTGGAGGAAAGAAAATAAAATTCCTGTGCTCTAACCAGAGATTTGAAGTAACAGATATGTCTCACCAATGAGAGTTTCTTTGACTATCATAAAAAATTTTTTAGACATTCTGATCATCAAAATAATGTAAGTTTATTATAGTTTAGAAAACACAGAAAAGCAGAAAGACAAAAATAAAAGCCAGCTATAATCTCACCACCCAGAGAAAACAAATTTAACTTTTTAGTATGTGTTTTCTGTTCTTCTGTGCTTTCGTTTGTTTAACAGTATTGGGACTCTACTGCTTGTAGTTTTGTACCCTGCTGCTTTTACTTAACATCACCCTGCCAGCATTTTCCCCATGTGTCACAGCAGGAAACAAATGGTGTGCTCAGCTAGGGTATTGTTGCCAAAGCAGCTATTCACAGAAATGGGGGCAAGGTGAAAGGAACCAACAGAGGATTCTGAAGCATCCAGATTCTAGGGGGTAATTATTACCACTTTAAAACTCACCTGAGAGCTGGGGCTGTGGACAAAGGGTTGCCACACAGAAAATGGAGGGCCACAGTCACTGCCCACACCACACAGAAGCAGAGGGAGTGGAGGCCTTGTTAAGGCTCAGACTTCCCACTCCTCTACCGCTCCAACTTCTTGTCGCATCTCCCGTTGACTGAACCCCGCAGGAGGCCAGAGGGCCCGGGAGCCAGGGTGGTAAGTCTGAGGAGGTCAGTCTCCTGAGCCACAGAGAAGGGAAGAAAAGGTAACGAATGGATCTGGGAGGCCAACAGAGAACGTTCAGCACTTGTGACAGTACAACGTCCTCAAAACACTTTTCAGGATGTCATGATAATCCAACGTGCAGGAGAACCTCATTGAACTTCTGAAGTTCTTACTTATCTTTCTCTTAATTGATCATTTAGGTTGGGCTCACTCTTTTAGTATTTTAAATAACACTCAAAAAAGCATCCTTGAACGGGAGTAGAACTACTGGGTCAAGTAATGTGAACATGTTTTTTAAGCTCCTGACGTATACCTCCAGGAAGGTTGTACAACTTAATGCTCCTGACCCATAGTGCAAGAGACTGTCAGCATCCTCACACCCTTGTAAGTGCTGGAAATGACGATATTGTCAAATCTGTGATTACCAGTAAGACTGGGCAGTGTTAGGGTTATTTTTAAAATATTTTTATTTTTAAGGTAAGTGTCATTGAGTTCTGTCTTTTTAAAAAAAATTTAGACTCTCACAATGGAAAGAGCAGGAGGTTTTATAACTATTTGTACATTTTGTGAACACATGATTAGATCAGTAGAAAGGGGTGAGGCAGCTGGGGCTTTGGGCAGGAACCATGTCTTAACATTCACTTTGGTACCCCTCCACAAGCACAATGTACAAATTCCTGTGCAGAATTTTCTTACCGGAAACAGTTGTAGAACAAGCTTTTGTGCTACAGATGATCCTAACAGCTCTTCGGATCAGGAGATGCTAAGCTAAGCAGAGAGGCCACTCAGTAGCCTTCTCTGTGAGTATCAGAGTCCTCATAGTTAATGTGACTGATTACTGGCTCACTGTTGGAATTGTTTCTTCCTACTCCTGATGGTCAGAGAGCTTAAACAGATGATAGTCAAGGTAAGGTCAATAGGAAAAAGCTCATTGTATGTGGGTTTGTTTGGGCCACGTCCAGCCTTTCCTTCCCCCTTTTCTTTGTCTTAAGATGTGCAGTTACCAGTTCAGGAAGCAAATGAAAAGTCCCAGCCTAACCTGTTCCTGTTCCTTTTCCTCAGAACCACAAGCAGCAGTGGAGGCCTGACCATCAGCAGCCTCCTCAAGGAAAAGGAAGGCTCAGAAGTAGCCAAGTTCACTCTAGAGGAGCTCTGCCTCATCTGCAGCATCCTAAGCACAGCAGAGTACTGTCTGGCCACCACCCAGCAGGTGAGCTGCCCACCGCCTCCTTTTCCTGAACCATCTGGGCCTGTTGACTCAGCAGGTAAAATTGTGGGCCTTCACAAGTCATGTACAACCTTGGGCAGACCAGTTTTCATAGGGAAAGCTTGCTGTCCAGCCAGACGACGGTCCAGCCAGCCATCTTACAGAGGAGCCTTGTTAAAAAGAGACTGGGCAAGAAAGTATGACTGATCTCCTCCCCAGAGTTGTTTCAGCTACTCAGAGGGCATGCCCTCTTGAAAGTAGGTCAGTAGCACTGTTTCCCATATGGGAAAAGCAGTGACAAACCTAACGATGCTAGGACCCGGCCTCTGGTGGTGATGAGTCACAACCAGTGATTCCATTCTCAGAAGTGTTACTAGGCTAAGCAAAATCCTTTGGGCTTTTATGTGTCTCCTGAAATGTACATAGCATCCTCAGTCTGCCTAAACAAACAACCATTGTTTGGATACTGACGTTCAGGAACTGTGCAGCAGGAAAGGGTGATGCCTCTCCTGGAGCTCCCCATTAGCAGGAGGAAGACCCAGAAGAATTTTCCGTTTAGCCTTCGACGTGGGATTAGAAGTTCCTTTTCACATTTGGTCTGGAATTCACCTAAGGCCAAGAGAAGGAAAATAATTGGAGAAGGTTGTGCTCTTCCCCCCTTTTTGGGTTTATTATTTACACATGTCTGGATCATGAGAAGGTAGTCATAAATTATGGTTCAGACAGTACTGCTTGGAGTGCCTGTAAGCCAGAGCAAGACTACAAGAGGCCAAAATAAGAAGTGTTCCCCCCAGAACTTCACAGTTGAGGTTAAGCCAGCCAGAGGCAATAGCATGCTCTGTTTGGGGACGTGGTCACATTGAGTCACACAGGGAATGATCTGTAGAGGTTTGGCCTTGGAACCAGAGACAGCAATCCCTTCAGCCCCAAGAACTGCCAGGGCAGGACAGCAGTATCTGTGAGGACCTCCAACGCAGAGGTCCCAGAGTTCAGTGATGAAGAAACACTATCTATTTAACTGTTTTGCATGTGTGCAGAAAAGGAAGACACACACATATAATAGCGTATTTTAAAAAATAAAATTAAAAGTAAACCAAGTAAATAAATAATTTTAAAAATTAAAAATAAAAGTAAAATAACCATGGAACCAAAGGGGAAAAACCATTAAAATAATGACTTAATCCCATCACCATCATATTAGCAGTTTGGCGTATTTTCTTTCAGTCCTTTTTCATGAACATAGTTTTTGGGTTTTTTTTTTTTTAATTTTTTATTTATTTGCGAGAGAGAGAATGAGAGACAGAGAGCATGAGAGGGAGGAGGGTCAGAGGGAGAAGCAGACTCCCTGCCGAGCAGGGAGCCCGATGCAGGACTCGATCCCGGGACTCCAGGATCATGACCTGAGCCGAAGGCAGTCGCTCAACCAACTGAGCCACCCAGGCGCCCCTCATGAACATAGTTTTGTATGCTATAATCTTAACTTAATTCAGTCTCATATCCCTTTGTTGTTTTTATTAACATCACAGCACTAGCATTTCTCCTGTTGCTATAATATCTTTATTGCCAACATTGTTAATAGTTATATATTATTTCATTAAGGGATAACACCATAAATTATTTCACAGTATCCCTCATAATTATTTATGCTGTTTCAGGTTTTAGCTTCTAAAGTAATCCTACAGGGGCACCTGGGTGGTTCAGTTGGTTAAGCATCTACTTTAGAATCGGGTCATGATCCCGGGGTCCTGGGATCGAGTCCTGCATTGGGCTCCCTGCTCGGCGGGAAGTCTCCTTCTCCTGCTGCCTGCCCCTCCCCCTGCTTGTGCTCTCTCTCTCTCTCTCTCTCTCTCTGTGTCAAATAAATAAATAAAATCTTTAAAAAAAAAAAGAAAAATTAAAAAAATAAATTAATCCTATAGAGAACATCTAATATGTTTTGCATTTTTCTAGAATAGATACTTAAAGTTCTGGAAGTACTAGTAGATCAAAGACCATTTTGATGACTCATGATAAATGTAGCCAAATTTTCTGTTATTTAGTGAAGTGTTTTTTTTTTTTAAGATTTTATTTATTTGTCAGAGAGAGAGAGAGAGCACAAGCAGGGGGAGCGGCAGGCAGAGGGAGAAGCAGGCTCCCCGCTGAGCAAGGAGCCCGATGTGGGACTTGATCCTAGGACCCTGGGATCATGACCTGAGCTGAAGGCAGATGCTTAACCGACTGAGCCACCCAGGCGTCCCTAGTGAAGATTATTTTTACTGATTATAAAAGTTAGTACATTCTTAGCACCTATATAGTGATCTCTAAATACCATTTTCCCCTAAAAGAAACCAGAGATTCCTCAGAATTGAGTAATTCCAGGTCTGGAACAGGAAATGTACATGATGAGCCTGGAGCATCATGTCATGCAAAAAGCAAGAAAAATATCAAAGACGGTGACTCATTTCAGAAGGATTCAGGAGTCATAATGGGCTTATTGTACAAAAGGATATACCTGTAAATGTGACCCTATTCATAATTAGGGTCTTTGAAGCTGTAATTAAGTTAGGATCTCAAGAAGAGATTATCTTGCATTTAGGGTGAACCCTAAATCCAATGACTGGCATCCTTAGAAAGGAAAGGGAGATCTAACAGTCACAGGGAAGAAGGCCACATGAAGATAGAAGCAGAGATTGGAGTGATGTGTCTATAAGCCAAGGAACACCAAAGATTGCCAGCAACCAGAAGATAGAAGACAGGCATGGAATAGTTTCTCTCTCAGAACTTCCAGGAGGAAACAACCCGGCCAACACCTTGATTTTGGACTTCTGGCCTCTGGAACGGTGAGAGAATAAATTTCTGTTTTGAGCCACCACGTTTGTAGTAATTTGTAAGAGCATCCTAAGAAACGGATACAGAAGCCAACCTAGGGGCGCCTGGGTGGCTCAGTCATTAAGCGTCTGCCTTCAGCTCGGGTCATGATCCCAGGGTCCTGGGATCAAGCCCCATATCAGGCTTCCTGCTCAGCGGGAAACCTGCTTCTCCCTCTCCCACTCCCCCTGCTTGTGTTCCCTCTCTCGCTGTGTCTCTGTCAAATAAATAAAATCTTAAAAAAAAAAAAAGCCAACCTAAATAAGCTCTGCTGGTCAAAGGTGGGATGTATAAGCATCAATGAAAAGTCAACTACAATGCATTGAAAACATCAGATATGCTTAAATCCATGTGGTTGTGATGATTTCTCTTTTTTTAGTGCACTTATCATCTTCAAAGACACTAAGAAACCACTGGTATGAATTGAATACTGGTAAATAAAGAGAAGTTCTTTTTTTTTTTTAAGATTTTATTTATGGGGTGCCTGGGTGGCTCAGTTGGTTGGGCGACTGCCTTCGGCTCAGGTCATGATCCTGGAGTCCCTGGATCGAGTCCCGCATCAGGCTCCCTGCTCAGCAGGGAGTCTGCTTCTCCCTCTGACCCTCCCGACCCTCCCCCCTCTCATGTGCTCTCTCTCTCAAATAAATAAATAAAATCTTAAAAAAAAAAAAAAGATTTTATTTATTTATTTGACACAGAGCGAGATAGCAAGAACAGGAACACAAGCAGGGGGAGTGGGAGAAGGAGAAGCAGGCCTCCTGCCGAGCAAGGAGCCCGATGCAGGGCTCAACCCCAGGACCCTGGGATCATGACCTGAGCCGAAGGCAGATGCTTAACCGACTGAGCCACCCATGGACCCCAGGAAATATATCTTTATAGCAGAATTTTAGCTAATGAAGAAGGAAAGAATTAGAACATCATTCTTTTATACCTCCTAATGAAATAATGGATCTGGGCATTGACTGTCAATGGCTGCTGACATTACAAAAAAGAGTCAAGCATCATGTATCTCCTGATAGACATACACAACACTGGGACGCCTGGGTGGCTCAGTCAGTTGAGCCTGTGCCTTTGGCTCAGGTCATGATCCCAGGGCCCTGGGATTCCTGGGATCGAGTCCCTCATCAGGCTCCTTGTTCAGCAGGGATCCTGCTTCTCCCTCTGCCCCTCGCCGCTCCCCCTGCTTGTGCTCTCTCTCTCTCTCTCTGACAAATAAATAAAATCTTAAAAAAAAAAGTACAAAACAGCATCATGAAATAGTTTTCTAAAAAAGAGAGAGAAGAACCTGAATCTGATCAAGCTTCTACATCAAACTACAATTTATAGAAAATACAAGGAACAGAGAGGAACATGTTAATACCTCGTGGGTACAATCAACAAAATCCAAACTATGGGAAATTCTACAGAGCAAACAATCCAGTTTCCTTAGAAAAAAATTGCAGAAAGAGGGCAAAAAAATGGAGGGAGAAACCAGAGACAAGAATCCAGGCAGTGAAGAACTGAAAAATAAAAACTTAAAAAATTTTAATGCCAATAATGTATCAATATCGACTAATTAATTCTGTAACACTTTTACACCTGTTGTTGCATTCGTTCATCCAAGAGATCTTCAGGAAGCACTTACTATGGTAAGGACCAGGCACTATATTTCATGTTAATTAACAGTAGTGAATAAAGTAGATAGTTTCTTACTGTCAGGGAACTTAGAACTAAAGGAGGAGCCGGGATAGTAGTAAGTAAGCCAAGATGTAACTTCAGTTTTGTGGTGAGTGCTAGTTAGGGAGTTGCCTACTGAAGTAGCTGGTCAAGGAGGGCGTCTCTGAGGAGAGGTGGTATTGAAGCAGAGACCGAGGGTGAGCAAAGGAGACTGCTAGGTGAGGAGTGTGGAAGGATTGGGAGGTGGGGGGTAGCAAAGCAAGGGAGCTGCTTAGGAGGGGTGGGCAAGGAGTGTTTCAGGAAGTGTGAAGTATGAAGGCCCTGAGAAGGTATCTATGAACTTGCCATGTTCCAGAACCCTAAGTTATAGCAGTAAGTTAAGCCAAGCAGGCAAGGAGAAAAGAAGATGTGAGCCAGAGAGCCAGGCAGGACCCAAATCATAGTTAGAAAGTTTGGGTTTTATTTTTAGTGTAACAGGAAGAGGCCACTGCAGAGTTGAAGCATTGAAAGCCTTCACTATAATTTGCTTCATTGGTTCCCTACAAACATGTGGATTGTTTCCAGTTTTGTCACTAACATAAACAAGGCCAGAATGTAAGCTTTATGAAGAGAGGATCTTCTGTTTTGTTCACTGAGTAACTCACCTACTCTGTTACAGAGCCTGGCACAAACAGGCTTTCTGAAAATTGTGGTTGAATTAATGAATGCTGCAAAGAATACTTGCAGATCTTTGTATATCACTATCATTGTATATTTCTAGATGTGAAATTGCTGTTTTTTAAAGAGTGTGTATATTTAAATTTCTGCTTCTTAAATAAATTGCCTTCTGAAAGGTTACACTAATTTACACACCCTTAAGAGCATTTTTTAATTTAAGACAAAACACTCGTTATTCTTAAGAGTTTGTGTAATCAATAGCTTTGGGAGTGCTGGGTGAGTCAATTCCCGGGATGCTTTGAGATGTTTACAATTCCTGGTCAGTTGTCTTTTTCTTTGAGGCAGCTGGGAGCACGGCCAGTGTTTCTCTCTTTGGCTGTAGGCTGATGAGGGCAGACTGTGTTTCTTTTGTTTACCTCTGTATCCCCAACACCTTAACATAGTGGGTGGCCCATTGTAGCACTCAGTGAATTCTTTAACTGATTTTACTGCCACACACCACCAGAGGCTTCTAAGCCTGCAGTTCATGGAGCAGGGAGGATCCTGAAAACTGGGGTCTTTTTAACATTAATGAAATGAACTGTCAGTGTGTCAGCAGCCCAGTGCTAAAGGGCACGGGTTCTGGAGGAAGTTTGACTCCTGGCCCTACCACGTACTGTCGCACCTCCCATTTTCTCTTCTGTAAAATAAAGATAATAATAGACTCTTCCTAATGGGGTTGTGAGAATTTAATGAATCAGTACATGAAAAGTGCCCGGAATTGTACCTGAATCATCAAACTCAGTAAATATTAAGTATTCTTATGATGGTACTCCTTTGGATCACTGTTAAGCATGTTTTTCTCTCTTATTTTTAATAGCTAGAAGAAAAACTCAAGGAAAAAGTTGATGTAAGTCTGATTGAACGAATCAATCTGACTGGAGAAATGGATACGTTCAGCACGTATGTACCTTGCACATATTTGCTTAAGGCCTGCCCTTTACCCTTCAAAAAGCAGCATGTCTCAGGCTGTCGGCTTTAGGCCACCATGGAACCTAAGAGATTTCCAGGGCCCCCTGTCGAATCAGGATTATTCTCCAGCAGCCAGTAAGAAGAAGCATTAGAAGCTAGTGCGGCTGCCTCCCATTTGGCCTGCTCAGATGCAGTCATTTTTAGCTTACGGGATCTTTATTATTGCCCTATCTAGAATAACCAAAGGGAAGAAATCCTACCTTGACCATCCCTGCAGGAAGGTCAAGTCCAAGGCCTCCTGTCCGCTCCCCACCCCACCCCAGATCCACAGAGGGCCAGCCCCTCCTTCAGTGTTTCAGAACATAAAGTGTGAGCAGGTTGATTTTAGCCAGGTCGGAGGTGGGGGGAAGCGCAGAGAGGGTTGTTGGGGTGGAGAGTGTCTGTCCAAGAAGTTCAGACTGTAAAGCCTTCTCAAAATAGTTCTTTCGCTGGTGTTGCCTTGCGGTATTTTTGTTGTGGTCAGTAAATGAGATTGGGGTAGGCCTTACTAAGGAAACATTAGGATTCTCTTCTTAGGTCATTTCCTCTCCTTTTCTCAACTTTTTTTTTTTTTCAAGTTCTGATTTAAACATTTTGAGCAAACAGGTGCTTTAGGAGTAAGAAGTGAAGGAGGGATTCTGGGTGGAGTGATTAGGGAGACTAGCCATGGAATTTTGTGACCTGACTCAGTGGGGACACACCCAAATAAGACCAGGACATGCAGCAAGAATGAAGAGCCAAAATGCTCCTCATTGTCATCCATTCCCTTTTGAAATCAAACTCAAGTTTTTCTGATGAAATGATGAATCTAATTTTGATATGGGTGCCTAAAAGATTTGGCAGGGGCTGTGTTAGTCATTCAAAAAGTTATTTCTTTGAAGTGATGACCACCATAATTTGTTTGATTTGCAGTGTCATCTCTAGCAGCATCCAGTTGTTGGTTCAAGATCTGGATGCTGCCTGCGATCCTGCCCTGACTGCCATGAGCAAGGTGAGGTTTGGGGAATGCTTCTTCTTAGACCTCCAAGAGTGACCCCAAGTGGTTGCTATCAGCCCTGGCCTGTGGCTTCTTCAGGTTCCTCACTGCTTCAAGTGTCAGCTGGGAGAGAATGGGAGGCCTCCAGGAGATGAGTTTATCTTGTGCTTTAGGTCAATTGCTTGTCCTCTGAGAATGAGACAGGCAACAGGTGTGTTTGTTAAGTCTACAGGAGATGTCTTTTTGTTTAGCATCTGACACATGCTGAAAACCTTAATGTGCTCTCACCAGAATGGGTGTTTTTGTTAGTGCTTCCAGCAGTAACTTCTGACTCTTTCTGAGCTCCAGTATCAGCACAATATTATTTGATCAGGTTGTGGACCTTGGTTTCCTACTGTCGTGCTGGCGCCTCAGTCAGTCTCCATCCCCTCCTGGAGCACACGCTGCCTTGTGTTATGATTTGGCTTTTTTTTTCTTCCTAAAAGAATGTAAATTCCTGAATTGCATGGACCATACAGGCTATGGAAGACTCTCTTGTTTATTGATTAATTAAATTGGAAATGGGCAGTTCTTTATTGACTTTTTAATCCAAATAACATGAAGCTGCCCACTCTAGAATTTCTAGAGCAGGGGTCAGCAAACTACAGCCTGTAGCCCAAGTCTTACCCATTGTTTTTGTAAATAAGGTTTTATTGGAACACAGCTGTGCTCGTTCATGTATATATTATCTGTGGGTGCTTCTGTGTTACAATGGCAGACACAAGTAATGCGTAAGTCAGTCATGAGACCATATGGCTCAGAAAGCCTGAAATATTTACTGTCTGGCCCTTTACAGAAGTTTGCCGATGCCCGTTCTCGAGTTATCAGGCCCTTGTAGCATTCTTACAAACTCTGGAGAAAGAACTTCTCTGGAGCATACTGGCCAATAACAGAGTACAGTGGAAAAAACACTGGCTTTGGAGTCAGACAGACCGAACTCTCCTCATTCTTCCTTTGGGGGTGTTGAGCAAATAACTTAACCTCTGTGGGCCCGAGTGAACTCATCAGTATGTGAACTGCAGCTCTCTGCCTCCCAGTGTTGTGAAGACAGAGCATGAAGAGAGTGACGTGACTGGCCTGGTGCCAACCAGTGTTGGTGCTCTTTCCCTCTTGTCAGGAGGAGTGGCCGTGTCACAGGGTTGTGTAAGCACACATTTGGTCTGAATTTAGTTTTGTAGTAGATTGTAAATATTTAACAAAAATAGGATGAAAACCAAAACTTAAGCTGCAGGGTTTTATGAAGCTAAGTGGGGAGTCCTGAATAGCTGATGTCACAGAGTTTCTATTCAAAAGGTTGATCCTTCCACCAATCAGATGTGGATGTGTTATTTCCAGTATTCTTGGTGTTTATGAGTAGCACATGAGCAGGCAAATTGAGGCTAACCCATTTTCTTAAAGGAACACAGCTCGGAAGATTCATTCTTTGGGCTCTGATTATCCCCTAGCTGCTGGTGAACATTCACTATATCCTGCATGTGATCTGTTCCAGCTGCCATCTCTCCTGAACTGCCACACACTTTAGATCGGAATGCAGCTGGTAAAAGAATTTTACATTTACCAAAAGAAGAGTGGATTTTTTTCCCCAGTAAAATAACAGTTGTAGGAGAGTTTAACACTCCAGGTGTTGCTTATATGAACTGTCAGTTCCTCAGTGGATTTCCCTCACACTCCCCCCACCACCACCCATTTCTCCCCCAGACCCACACCAGCAAATATTAACAGAGACCATACCTCCAGAATCTTTTGTTTATATCATAGGAAAACCACAGACTAGGGAACGCAGCAGCTGGGAGACCATTACTCTTTGTCTGAGTCCTCTGGAGTTCTAGTGAAATGAAATCCTTGTGATGAAAATGACCAGATATAAGCAAGCCAAGTGGTCACAGATTGATTCAACATACACTCTGTTATTTGTGCCCGCATCCTGTTTTGTGTCGTTTCTTCTAGGATTTTTTAAAACTTCTGTTTTGCAGGGAAATGAGAAGTGAGTGCTTATTTTTGTCTCTGATTCCATCGTTTTTGCCACTAGTTGGACAGTTCAATTCAGACTCTACCCAGAACCGTGCTGGGAGCTGCAAAGCTGGGAAAGACATGGACCTTACCCCAAAGCACTTAGATTCCAGAAAGTGTGGGGTAAGAGATGTGTGAGATGAGAGGAGTGCTCAGATAACAGCAGTATAAGGTATGGGGAAATCACACCATAAGAAAAGTACAAAATATGCCCTCTTTAAAAGCAGAGAGTTCATCTCTCTCTTTGTATCAGGTGGGGAAGTGAAGAAAGCCTTAAGGAAGTGGCATTTGAAATAGACCACAGAGGATGCTGAAGTCTTGAACGAATTTGTGATTAGGAGGGCTTTCCAAACAGGGTGACAATATGAGCAGAGATTTATAAAGCTAGGAAAGCTCAGAACTTTGTTGAAATTGCCAGTCTCATTACCCAGCTTTGCAGTTTCACAGAGGACTTGCACTTATATAGTCAGGATTGGTAACAGGAGATTGGCTGCCCTTGAGGAGTTTCTATTCTGATGGGGAGAAAACTTTGAATAATTGATGCTGTAAATAAATGGATTTTATAAATAGTGAGAAAAATGAATGTTGGGCTTGCCCACTTGGAGTGGAATTGTTAGGTGATTCTGAGTTGATGAAAGGAGGCTTCTCTGACAAAATGGGTTGAGCCAAGCAATGTAGTTAGGTCATTCTCCGGGGAAGAGACCCTGTTCTGACCTGAAGGCACCCGATGACCTCCTCCTTGGGCAGCATGCAGGCCTTTCATTATCTGTCCCTTTGCCACCTGGTCAGTTCCGCCACTCCTGCGCATAGACCTATATTCCAGCCCCGGAGCCACTTCTACTTCCCTGAATGCATTGCCTTCTGGGGGGCCTCCATGCCTTTTCTCATTCTGTTCTTTCTGCCTAGAATTCTCTTCCCACTATTGTCTGCCCAATCTTTAAGATCTAGTTCAAAATATCTGCCCCCTTTTTAAACCTTTAGGTATAATTCACATACCACAAAATTCACCCTTTTAAAGTGTATATAATCCAGTGGGTTTTAGTATGTTCCCAAGACTGTGCAACCACCACCACTAATTCCAGAACATCTTCATCACACCAAAAAAAGAAATCTACTCATTAGCACTCACTTCTCATTTCCCTGACAATCACTAATCTACTTTCTGTCTCTATGGATGTGCCAATTCTGGACAGATCACATAAATGGAATCATACAGTATGTGGCCATTTGTGACTGGCTTTCTTCACTTAGCCTAATGTTTTCAATGTTCATCCATGCAGTAGCATGTATCAGTACTTCCTCCCTTTTTCTGGCCGAATAATAGTCTATTGTGTGGATATAACACATTTTGTTTATCCATTCATCAGCTGATGGACGTTTAGGTTGTGTCCACTTTTTAACTATTATGAATAATACTATGAATATTCATGTATGGGTTTTTGTGTGGATATGTTTTCAATTCTCACATATATACCACATGTATCATGTGGTAGCTCTATGCTTAACATTTTGAGGAACTGCCAAACTGTTTTCCATGAGTAGCTACACCATTTTACATTCCCACTAGCAATGTACAAGGATTCTAATTTTTCTATATCCTCACCAACGCTTTTTTTAAATTATAGGCATTCTTTCTCATTGTGTTTTTAGTTTGTATTTGTATGTCTGATGACTCAGACGTTGAGCATCTTTTCATGTGCTTATTGGGCCATCCATGTATCTTCTTTGAAGAAATGTCACTTGAAATCTTTGCCCATTTTTAAATTGGGTTGTCTTTTTGTTGAGTTGTAAAAGTTCTTTTATAGTCTCAATACTAGACCCTTTATAAGATATATGATTTGCAAATATGTTCTCCCTTTCTGTGGGTTGTCTTTTCACTTGACTATGTCCTTTGAAACACTAAAGTTTTTAGTTTTGTTGAAGTCCAGTTTTTATATTTTTTCTTCTGGTGCTTGTACTTTTGGTGTCATATTTAAGACACCATTGCCTAATTCAGAATTACAAAGACTTACACCTGTATTTTCTTCTAAGCTTTTTATAGCTTTATCTCTTACATTTGGGCCTTCAGTCCATTTTGAGTTAACTTTTGTATATGGTATAAGGTAAGGATTCAACTTGATTCCTTTGCATATAGATATACAGACATCCCCGTACCGTTTGTTGAAAAGACTCATCTTTACCCATTGGATGGTCTTGACACTCTTGTCAAAACTCAGTTGACCATATGATCCCAGGGTCCTGGGATCGAGTCCCGCATCAGGCTCCCTGCTTCTTGGGAGCCTGCTTCTCTCTCTGCTTCTCTCTCTCTCTCTCTCAGTCTCTCATGAATAAATAAATAAAATCTTAAAAAAAAAAATCAGTTTACCATAGATACACAGGTTTATTTCTGGACTTTCAGTTATATTCCATTGATCTATATGTCTGTCTTTATGCCAGTACTACACTGTTTTGATTATTGTAGTTTTGTGGCAACCTTTAAAATCAGGAAGTATGAGTCCTCCCAAGTTTGTTCTTTTTCAAGATTGTTTTGGCTATTTTGATCTCTTGGAGGGGTGCCTGGGTGTCTCAGTTGGTTAAGCATCCAACTCTTGATTTCGATTGAGGTCATGATCTCAGTGTTGTGAAATCGAGCCCCATGTTGGGTTCCACGCTGGACATGGAGCCTGCTTAAAATTCTCTCTCTCCCTCTCCCTCTGTCCCTCCTACCCGCTTTCTCTCTCTCCCTCTCTAAAAATAATAATAAATTGATCTCTTGCAGTGTCACCACTTTTTTTGTCTCACCCACAACATCCTTCTCCCTAAAGACAGCACAGTATAGACTGCCTCTCTGCTTTGTTATACAATTCTTTTTATATCTCCCTCCCCTGTTAAGCTTTGAACAACTTGAGGGCTGTGTCTTACTCATTTTTTGGACCTCCATGGCATAGCTTAACAGTAGTATTCCCTGAATGACTTTGAAGGTAAAA